ACAAGAAGGAATACTGAAGAACGTCCCCTTGACACAAGAAGGAAAACTGAAGAACGTCGCCTTGATACAAGGAGGAATACTGAAGAACGTCCCCTTGACACAAGAAGGAATACTGAAGAACGTCCCCTTGACACAAGAAGGAATACTGAAGAACGTCGCCTTGATACAAGGAGGAATACTGAAGAACGGGGCCTTGATACAAGGAGGAATACTGTAAAACGTCACATTGACACATGGAGGAATACTGAAGAACGTCGCCTTGACACAAGAAGGAATACTGAAGAACGTCGCTTTGATACAAGAAGGAATACTGAAGAACGTCCCCTTGACACAAGAAGGAATACTGAAAAACGTCGCCTTGACACAAGGAGGAATACTGAAGAACGTCGCCCTGTCACGAGAATTAATACCGAAGAACGTACTCTTGACACAAGAAGGAATACTGAAGAACGTCGCCTTGTCACAAGGAGGGATACCGAAGAACGTCTCCTGAACAGTAGGAAAGCTGAAGAACGGCGCCTTGACACAAGGAAGAATACTGAAGAACGTCGCCCTGTCACGAGAATTAATACCGAAGAACGTACTCTTGACACAAGAAGGAATACTGAAGAACGTCGCCTTGTCACAAGGAGGGATACCGAAGAACGTCTCCTGAACAGTAGGAAAGCTGAAGAACGGCGCCTTGACACAAGGAGGAATATAGAAGAACGTCGCCTTGACACAAGGAGGAATACCGAAGAACGTCGCCTTAACAGTAGGAGAGCTGAAGAACGGCGTCTTGACACAAGGAGGAATACTGAGGAACTTCGCTTTGACACAAAAAGGTACAGTGAAGAACGTCGCCTTGACACAAGAAGGAATACAGAAGAACGTCGCCTTGACACAAGGAAAGCTGAAGAACGTCACCTTGAGACAAGGAGGAATACTGAAGAACGACGCCTTGACACAAGGAGGACAACGGAAGAACGTCGCCTTGACAAAAGGAGGAATACTGAAGAACGTCGCCTTGTCACAAGAAGGAATACTGAAGAACGTCGCCTTGACACAAGGAGGAATTCTGATGAACGTCGCCTTGACACAAGGAGGAACACTAAAGAACGTCTAATTGACACTAGGAGGAACACTGAAGAACGTCGCCTTGAAACAAGAAGGAATACTGAAGAACGACGCCTTGACACAAGGCGGACAACAGAAGAACGTCGCCTTGAAACAAGGAGAAATACTGAAGAACGTCTCCTTGACACAAGGAGGAATACTGACGATGGTCGCCTTGAAACGAGGAGGAATACTGAAGAACGTCGCCTTGACACAAGGGGAGTTGAAGGTCGTCGTCTTGACACAAGAAGAGTTGAAGGTCGTCTCTTTAACCCAAGGAGCTGTGAAGGCAGTAGCCTTGACACAAGGAGAGCGGAAGAATGTCGCTTTGACACAAGGTCGTCGTTGGTTCATAGCACAAACAGGAAGGTTCCTGGAGAGCTGCTGCTTCAAGGCTACAAGTTGTCCGTGGCGCCAGTTTCCTCCTTGTTGGAAGTAGCACCCAAGACACAGCACCCTCACACATTGTTAGACGATGTCACTTTTATGAAGTCCCAAGTGAGTACTGTACCTTTATCTGGCCACACATTGTATGAATGTTGTTTCATAATTATGTAATTTCTGATGTTCACACCTTTATCAGAAGATATGAAAAGCATCTCCTCTTGCTCATCATAATTTAGGGTTGTGATGGCTACTTAGTATCATGTCTGGTTCTTG